GCCTTCTGTCCTTTCAGTTTGGACAGAAATACCTTTAACTAAGTACCTCAAAGGTACTAGCAATCTATATAATCTATTGTATGTAAACAATAAAACGAGCGCACGCTGTATTGTGGTTGGTTGGGATTCTTTATCTTGTTAAATGTTTGCACCTGTAAATGAATCAATTAAAGGGTTTCCTGCATTAATTGAGTTCATATAGAAATTATTTATTGTATAAATCGATATCACTTCATGATTTATAGGACAAAGAGTCAGAAGATGTATACTGCTTTGCGCATGTGCTGTATGAAATGGCTTTTAGTGAACCTCTCAGGACGTCAACTCTATCTCAATTRCCTCCCACATGTCCTAGTGAACTTCGTAAGCATATTTTCTTTTTTATTTATTTGTTTCCTTTTTTTATTTTTGTCTGCCTTGTAACTACTAATAATTGTCATTGTGTTCTGTCTATATCAGGACCGGTTTTAGAGTCTATTCTCAATGAAGAAGTACTCAGTAAAAAAGGTCTACCGACTGTCGAAGAGCTCTTAGAATTACCGTGAGTATCAGAAAAATTCAGAAAATACAACTTTCATGTGGTTCTTATAGCAAAAAATGTATTGAAAATTTATAGGAAGTACATTTACTTTATATCAATTCTTTTTTTAGTCCTCTTAATGAAGGAGCTTCTAATATGTGTCTTCGTGTTGAGTCATTTTGCTTGAATTACACTGAACTAAACGATTTTTAAAAAATATCCGGTTTGAACAGGTTTTTCAAGTCTGTMAATCTTCCTCTAACGGAAAAACCAGTCATGAAGGTAATGCAAGACTTTTTAACTGAAGGCTATACTGGGAATAATTTTAGATCCTCTCTCTTTTACTCTTTTAGATTCCTCGGCATAAAGCTTGCATGTAATTCTATTTCTTATTATTTTATTTACTGCAATTTTGAATTATGCAAACTTTAGACGCTAAGCGCTATTTGGTGTCCTTCCACCCCCCCCCCCCCCCCCCCCCACCACCAACCCCACCCCGCAACAAGTCGTTCTAATCCAGGTTCTGCAAATTAGTTCAGGTTTGTTAGGTTTTAAGGAAGGAGTTTCGAAGTCGGCGGTGAATAACGGTGTTATAATATGAACACAATCAAGAAATGTAGTACAAAATGGTATCGATAACATTTAACCGTCAGGGCTCACATATTCACGTATTTATTGTCGTATGTCGTGGATTTTTACTTTAAAGTACTTTATACCTAGTTGTCATCATAGATTCCCAGCAAAGTAAAAGAAAGCGTTCGAATGGCAAAGGAAAAATCTGAACAAAGGCTCAAAGAAGACCAGAAGTTTGTAAGATGATAATACTATTGTATGTTTKTGTTGTTTCATTTGTTGTAAATAAATGTCATATTTTAATCTCCAGCTGCGGCAGTTTAGACGGGCATCTAAGGCGCATGCGCATCATATGTCAGAAGAAGAGAAAAAGAAGAGAAAGAAGTCTGCGAAAAAGGTATGAAAAGCAACTTTACCTGCGTGAAGCCGAACTAAACCTGCTGTAATGCCATACTGGGTGGCAATTAAGAATGTGCATGGAGATCAAAACAATTTAGTCAACCAAGGAAAGATTTGTTGTTGCTTTTGTTTTTTTTGTTTGTTTGTTTGTTTGTTTTTTGTTTATTTGTTTGTTTGTTTTTTGTTTTTTTTAAGATGCTTAATCTTTATTTTACAGCGAAGCCTAATTTTCTTGGCTGACTAAATTTATTTTTATGACCGTATACAAACTAATTCCCATGCAACATGGCAGATTTTGCACTGCAGCAGATATCCAATTAAGGTTTGGGCTGCCTGTGAGTGTGCAACGATTATCTTAAAAATGTTGCACGATGCGTGTGGTGGACGTGCATACAGCATTAGTCGGATTTGATTAGGGTCTGTCCCACTAACTGTTCCTTTTATATTTAGTCTCATAAGTCAGACTCCTCAGCTCCTGCACCTCAAACAGGTAAGCTATCATATCAGTAAGCGCTAGTGAAGCATTGAWAGAGCTGAAATTAGACAATTTTTGCTTTTGCGAATGTAGAGAAGACTTATAAGCATTGCGCAAGCAAGCATATGCTTTGTACTACTTATTAAGAAAGTACTGCACTTGGAAAACAACTACCTCGCCAWTGCACTTATACCATTTTCTTAAGCGATAACGACTACCTAATTTGGTAATTGAAGTTAGAGACTTCATCCTGCGACATTCCAAGTTGCTATGGTAACTAGTCAATCTTTATTCACGTATGATTGCGACACTAGCCATAGCCATGGCAATTTCCTGTGTTACCATGGTAAACGTTGCCATGGTAATCTGATGAGTAATCAATGATTGCTTTATTGTATTAATGTGTCGTTCTCGTTTTGTCTTGACACTTACGTCTAACGTGAAGACGAGCATGAGGTCGCACAGTGCTCCTAACGTACCACCCACTTGTAAGTTATGTTTTGATCTTCATTGCTTTTAACAACTAATCAGTCGTACACAATAACTATCAAACGCTCTTTGATGAAGCGATCCAACTTCGTTACCTAAAAATAACCAAATTTATTTCTCGTTCGTCCATTTATACTCTGCTATTGGTTTAGCCAATAGGACTTTATTGGTTTAGCCAATAGGCCTTATCAYGGTTTTCGACGCTATCTTGGACAATAAGCAAAATGTCGCAAAATAACGAGGATACGATGGGAAATCGATGTTAAATAATTCCTGTGGAATTCCATTTCTAAAAGAATGTTTAATTGGAAATCTTAGTACTGGTAAAAATAGCTTACTGGCTATTTGTGAAGGATGTAGGTGATCTAGGGAGCGAGTAAAGTCATTTTTAGTTTTCCATACATTTCTTTGTGTTTTTACGCACATCACGCGCTCATGACCCCGGAATATTACTCGGTATCCTTGTTATTTTGCGAGACTTTGTCTATTGGCCAAGATGGCGTSGAAAACCGTGATAAGGCCTATCCAGTATTCTCCATATCGAGAAAACTCTGCAATACTGACATGAGGTCAATAGATCATTTCTCTAACTACTTTGTAATGACTTATAACCATAACCATGTAGGAAGTAAATCACACCACTCTCCATATTCTCAACAAGTTGAGTCTTATCGGATAACTCTTTAAAAATCTATGGATTAATCCTTGGATTAACGCTAATCGGACTTTGAACAACTCGGCCCTGGTCAAAATCCCTGGGATAAGAAGTTTTGACCGGTTGGCTTTCCATGTAGAATTGTGGCTTCTAATCCTGTATAGCACCAGTAATTATGCACCTACTAATTATATAGCCTTACTGCACAACAAAGGAAAAGCACGACTTCCGAAGTCAATCTTCGGAGACTGTTAATCACAGGAGTCCGAAACCGCGAAATGGTCTCTTGATAGATGCAGTTGTATCGCTTCAGATAACTCAATTTTGATGCGATTTTAAGAAAGTAAAATAACATGTGAACAGTTTATTTCTATTTTTGGCTGAAAATGTTTGTTGATTTTTCCCAGGCTCTGCTCCATCATCACCGCCGCCGACTGTTCGATCGCAGCCAACAGTCGGTAAGCTGTCTTTTAAATCTTCACGACTTTCAACATTCAATCAAAATTGATCGTCAATGTTAATTATGAAGGTTTTATGTTTTTTTTTTCAGCACCTGCGGCTCCACCTCCGCCCCAGGCACCCAGGGCGCCTCCACCACCCGCCGCGTCTGCCCAAACCCCTGCGAAAAGCACGTCGCCACCGTCGTCTGCAGGGCGTGGTGCTCTTCTGAGCTCAATAGCAGGATTCAGAAAAGGAGGACTGAAGAAGGCCGTAACTGTAGATAAGAGTGCACCAAAATTAACGTAAATTCATACATAGTAGATTATAGATTAT